GGTTATTATGTACATCGCCCAACTGGGCATGTAACAGTTGGTATCGGTGCACCGCACGTGAATCAGGACAACCTGATCTGACACGTGTGCGGGACTAGGCTTTATCGATTGATTAGAGCACACTAGATAGCCCCCAAATCACGATTTCGACCTTACTGCTGAAAATCGATTTTTTTTTTTTCTTTTCTTGGATTTTGTTTTCTCGCTATTCTGTTGTGGAAAATCGCAATAGCGCAACATCTGAAATTTCCATTGTCATTTTCCTTCTGAAAATTCGAAATTTCGTTGTTAAAAATCCGGAATATCCTTCTTTTCGAAAATTTCGATTTCCTGTTGCATTTCCTGTTACTTAGAAATTCGGAATATCTTCTTTTTCGAAATTCGTTTTTCTGAAAACGGTACAGGAAATCCCTCCTGCAGGTATTATTTTCCAAACTACGAATACTCTCATCTGAGTAAATCCGAATACTTGTCATTTCTTTTCGGAATTTTTTTTTTCGCAGTTCTAGGATTCCGTTAGTCAGTTCTATAAATCATTAGCAGTCTGAAGTCGAATTTTTTTTCATTGATCATTTCGCACTTCGAGGGAGGTTGGGAGACCTACTGAACTTGCAAAAGTCAGGATTTTTATTTTTCTCGAAATTTTTTTTTGCAAAGTTCAAACTTTTCTTTTTTGATTAGTGGCTCCTTTTTTATTAGTGGCTCCTTATCTGGGCAATTCTGTCTCCGGGTACCCCCTGCGGCGGCATTGGTGAGTTGCCACGTCAGCAGGCCACGTCAGCAGACTATGTCAGCAGGCCACATCAGCAGACTACGTCAACAGGACACGTCAGCAGGACACGTCAGCAGGACACGTCAGCAGGACACGTCAGCAGGCCACGTCAGCCGATAGCAGTGCCACGTCAGCAGCAGGGAATACCACGTCAGCAGGCCCCCGGCCTGGTCTATGCTGTTGCGTTCACAAACAGCCGTCATGGACCAGAGGTCCGGAGAAGCAGACGAGGCCTATCACGCCCAGATGCTGGCCTGGAGTACCGAAACAAAGAAACGGGCAGATGACGCAGCAGCAGCGAAGAAGAAGGCAAAGGACGCCGAGCAGGCACGTCTGCTGGCACTTGAACAACAGGGCCAGCATAATGAGGCAGCAGCAAAGGCTGCCGATGAAGAAAGAATTCAACGTCGTGAGAAGATATTTAGCGGAGAGCAGACTTTGCTCAAAATGGCAGCGGAATGGCGGACCGAGGCCGAGAATGGCAAGTTGGAGGATAGTGAAAACAAGATCGCTCTCCTCCTCTCCCATCTCACAACCTGCATTACACAGCAGGAGGACATCCACAGCCTCGACGACTCGCTAGCTCACATCCAAGGCCATCTCCGGCAGTTGGAGCAGCGACCTGTTGCCGCCCCCGATGCAAGCTCTTCCAACACCTTCGATCGCCTCGAAGCATTGGAGATGGGCGTCGGCTCCCTCAAGGTCGACGTAAAGTTACAGCAGACCGCAACGCAACAGTTGGAACAACGGATCTGCACTGCCGCCAACCCCTCGAGTTCGGAACCACGCGAGACAGCTCCAAAGTTTTACGGGCAGGAGATCTTCTGCGACTCAATGAAGATAAATCCGATTCCATGGTTCCGCAAGTTCGAGCTCACGCTGCAGCTACACAACATCAAAGAGCACAAGCACCACACATACTTATACTCTCGCTCAGGGGGCGCGTGCCAGGCTTGGCGGGACAATCTCTTGTCCAAGTACGGAGTGGTAGCTGCCGACTTGCACACCAAGATCAGTTGGGATGATCTGAAGGCGGCGTGACACAAGCGGTTCCAAGTCGAGCCGCCGGAGATCAAGGCTATGGACAAGCTCATGGTCTTCGAGCAAGGCACACTGCCGAGTACCGACTGGATTGCCGAGTACCAACACTTGACATCAGTCCCAAACATCCAGATGGGCTTCAAGGCCATCCGCCACTATATCATCTCAAGGTCATGTCTGACATTAAGCAATGCCCTGACTCACGTCGACGACACCTTGACGACGACGGCGGAACTTTTTGACAAGGCCGCGCAGATCAGTATCAAGAACAAGGAGGGAAAAACCTGCGTTCGTCTGCACGAGGCCCGAGCATGGACCAGCATCGACCAAGAGTGGCCGTGGTCGCGGCGGCAACGCCAATTGACCAATCTAGCCAGGCCGTGTCTGCCAATGAAGGGGACAGACTCGCAGCCGCCCAGGAAGGTGGCCGCCCCGGCAAAGGCTGAGGACGCGGCAAGACGAAGACACACACCGCATCTAGCCCCGGGCCCGGCGCAGCAGCTCCAGCCCCATGGTCCCAATATGGCATCTCCAAGCAAGCATTCAAGGCGCGCACGAGATTCCACTATTGCCTATGGTGCAACAGTGATCTCCATCAGACACTGGCCTGTCCATTGAAAGGCAAGGGCAAACAGGGAAACTGAGCACCGCCGAGAGTGACTCGACGACACTTTCGACGCCTCCGGAACCGGTCTCTTCGCGAGTGACCGGCCTTCATTCCGAGGCGCAAGCGGAAGTCGATAGTCCTCCTCTTCTATTCTCTTTTGAGGACTATGCTGCCCGGCTCGTTCCTACGTTGGGTACTCAAGCTCAAGGACAAGACGTGTGTGCGACATCTTCTCCGTCCGATAGCGGCGACTTATCGTCTTCAAGTGGTTCTTCACGGGATTCGGCGCGCGAGTTCAACATAGAGGTATTGGACCCGCTCACGTCCGAGGACTTTGCATGGCTTCCTCTCCCAACCACGGGCCGCTTGCCGGGACCGCAATGCGCAGCACTATGCGCTCATCTCCACACATACTTATCCTTCTATGCACCACCAACTCCACCGACGGATGACGAAGTCGCGGTGGGGAACATCCTTGCGTATGTTACCAAGGTGGCCCGCAAGTTTTGCATGCAGCGGTACGATGACAACAACGCACCGCTCATGTATGTCCGCATCCAGGTTGGACAAGCGTCCTGCAGCGCTTTGCTGGATAGCGGCGCGTCTCGCAATTTCATGAGCCAAGCCTTTATGCAAAGGGTTGGCCTTGGCGCACAAGTTCAGAGGAAGGCAAACCCGACGGCGATCAAGTTGGCGGATGGAAATACGCAGCAACTTCTCGACCGTTACATCGAAGACGTACCGGTTTATTTCACACCTCATGCACGCAAACCGGTGACGTTCGATATTCTCGACACGGACTTCGACATCATTCTGGGAATGCCTTGGCTTGCAAGTGCGGATCACACGGTCAACTTCCACCGGCGGACTCTTAGCGTTCGCGACGCCTTCTGCGCGGAAGTGGCGTGCACTATTCCTCTACCGCACCCTTCGATTCGGTGCCAAGTGGTGACGGCCAAATCATTCCGGACGACTTGCGCTTACGAGCAGCCCGCGGAAATCAGCCTATGTTTCATGCGGATCGTCGCGGCAGCCGACTCTTCACTCACGGACTTGTCTTTGGACCCCCGTGTGGTGCGGTTGCTGGACGAGTCCGCCGACATCTTCGAGTCACCTACCGGTGTGGTGCCGGATCGGCCGATCTCTCACGAGATCATTCTTGAGGCCGGTGCCGTGTCGCCGAAAGGTTGCATCTATCGGATGAGCGAGGAGGAGCTTAAGGTCCTCCGTGCACAACTCAACGACTTGTTGGCCAAGGGCTGGATCCGCCCTAGTTGCTCCTCATAAGGAGCACCAGTTCTCTTCGTCCGAAAGAAGAACAAGGATTTACGATTGTGTATCGACTACCGCAAGCTCAACGCGCAAACCGTCAAGAATGCGGGGCCTCTTTCTCGCATCGACGATCTTCTTGAGCGATTGGGCGACGCAAAGTATTTTTCTAAGTTGGATTTGAAATCATCAAATCTCGATCCGGCCGAACGATCGCTACAAATCCGCGTTCAGGACACGGTACGGGCATTTTGAGTGGGTGGTCATGCCTTTTGGCCTCACCAACGCCCCGACGACCTTTCAAGCGGCAATGACCAATGAGTTTCGTGCAATGTTGGACCGGTTCGTGCTGGTCTACTTAGACGATATTCGTCTATAGCCGGTCATTGGAGGATCATCTGGAACATCTTCGACGAGTGTTGGAGACGCTTCGCCGCGCCAAGTACAAGGCCAACCGCGACAAGTGCGAATTTGTCCGGCAAGAGCTGGAATACTTGGGCCATTTTATCACACCGGAGGACATCAGTCCGCTATCGGACAAGATTCAAGCCATCCAAGAGTGGCCGGAGCCTCGGAACGTCACGGATGTCCGCTCGTTCCTTGGTCTCGCCGGCTACTATCAGCGTTTCATCAAAGGCTACTCGAAGATCGCGGCCCACTTGACCAAGCTTCAATGCGAGGATCGACCGTTTGACTTCGGAGAGGAGGCGCGAAAATCATTTTTGACTCTCAAAGCCGCGCTATTATCTGCGAAGGTTTTGCGGATATACGACCCGCTTTTGCCTACGCCCGTCACTACGGATGCGTCAAGCTATGGCATTGGTGCAGTCCTTGAGCAACATGATGGTGTGGGCTGGCACCCGGTCGAGTATTTCAGCAAGAAAGTGCTCGTCAAGCATTCCATTGACGATGCACACAAGAAGGAGCTCCTCGCCTTCGTCCACGCGCTCAAGCGGTGGCGGCACTTCCTCCTTGGTCGAAGCCAATTCCGATGGGTAACGGACAACAATCCGTTGGTCTTCTACAAGACCCAAGACACCGTCAACAGCACCATCGCTCGATGGATGGCTTTCATCGACCAATTCGACTTCTTTCCCGATCACATTCCCGGGAAGTCGAACCATTTCGCGGATGCTCTTTCACGGCGYCCGGATCATTGTACCGCGGTCTACTCAACCTTCGAAATCGACGACAACCTGCGGAACAGCTTCATCCGCGGCTACCAAGCCGACCCCGAGTTTCGCGACAAGTACGCGAATTGCTCCTCTCCTAATCCGGCTCCTTCTCACTACCGGATCCAAGAGGGGTACTTGCTTGTCCACACGCGGGGGAAGGACCTCCTTTGCGTACCGAGTGATCCTCACTTGCGTACACGGCTTCTTGGCGAGTTCCACGATACTCCCGCCACCGGACACTTTGGAGTCAATCGCACGATTGGCCAACTTCGCAAGAGATTTTGGTGGCCCGACCTTCTCGGCGATGGCACGCGCTATTGCAAGTCATGCGAAGTTTGTCGACGCTGCAAATCCCGCAACCATTGTCCGAATGGTGAGTTACGACCATTACCGGTCCCGTTGAGGCGAAGGGAAGCGATTGCCATGGACATTACCGGCCCGTTCCCCAAGCACAAGACCGGAGTGGATGGGATTCTCACGGTGGTCGACCGACTCACCAAGTTCGCCATGTTTTTGCCTTGTCGCTATCATGCCAAGGCACCGGAGTTGGTCGAGGTTCTCTACGCCGGTTGGATTCGAACCAAGGGTTACCCCAAGGAAATCGTCTGCGACCGCGACACTCGGTTCATGTCTGATTTTTGGTTGGTGCTCATCAAGCGATGGGGCTCATCTATCAAGCCCAGTTCAGCTCGCCACCCTCAGACCGATGGCCAAACAGAGAGGGCGCACCAGTCCGCGCAGGTTCTCCTTCGCACTCTCATTCGTCCGGACCAGAAGGACTGGGTTGAGCGGCTGCCGGATGTCGAGTTGGCCTACAACTCTTCCATCCACCCGGCTATCAGGATGTCGCCTTTCGAGTTCGAGCATGGCTCGTCGGTCACTTCACTGTTGGACACTATCACTCCACAAACGGCCGAGAGCGACGACCATCTTCTTTTCTTGTGTCGGATGCAAGAGCTACTTGTCAAGTCATGCGACCAGATGGCCAAGACGCAGCAACGCATGAGCCAGCAGGCCAATCGCTAGCGTCTTCCTTGCCCATTCTGCGCCGGCGATCTCGTTTGGGTCTCCACCGCAGAATTCAGCCTTGAACAAGATATCTCTTGCAAGCTCCTCCCGAAATGGATGGGGCCTTGGCCGATCGTGGCACCCACTGGGGACGCACCCGAGGGACCTTCCTTCACGATTCAAGTGCCCGCCCACTTGCCCGTCTACCCAGTCTTTCATTGCTCCAAGTTGGCTCTCTACGCGCCAGCGGAACATGATGATTTTCCCGGGAGACGTTCGCAAGACCCACCCTCCATGGACGGTTTTCAGGAGGTCGGCGACATCATCTCCCAGCGACGCTACGGCAACAGGCCAACCGAGTATTTGGTGCATTTTGCGTCTGCACACACCAAGCTGACCGTTGGTTGACCCGTGCGAAACTTCAAGCAACAACTCCAGACGTTCTCGCACGCTACGAATGCAAGATGCAAGGCAAGCCGGTTTCTTCGGCTCCACGCCGCGCCCGCGTGCAGGTTCCACCTTCAGGTCGTCGGCTCCGCCCTCGCCCCGGCTTGACTTCATAAGGAGGGGGGGGTGTTACATGCTGCGCCTGCACACGAGGGCCATTTTCCAGGCCCTGCGTCCCTCAGGCTGAAAGCCTGAAATTCAGGCTAAAAGCCTGAAAACCAAGGCCTACAGGTCCCGTGTCTGTTCAGCCCGAAATCCTGAAAAACAGGGCCTACAGACCCTGTGTCGTTTCAGACTAAAAATGACAATAGCCTTTTTAGCCTGAAACGAAGGGCCATTTTCGGTCGTTCATCAGAACGACCGGCCCTGAAACTCAGGCACCAAACCAGGGTTTCGGGAACAGGCTATTCTTATCCAGCCTCAACGGATGCTGCAGCGCCAGCCCCTGGCACACTTCGGCATTGGCAAGAGCAGCCTCCTCGGCCTGGCTCGCCCTTCAGGCAGTCAGGAGGCAGACCGAGGTAGTACATAGGGACTTCCCATGCACTTCACGGGGAGGCAGGAGGCAGTAGTCTTCAAGATTCGGCAGCAGCACTTTGGAGGGAGCGCTGCAGGAGTAGTAGTAGCGTTAGCCTTAGTCTTCAGCGCTGGGCGCAGTAGGTAGCTGTAGTCTCCAGCGCCGGGCGCCATAGCTAGGATAGCACTAGAGAGAGAGAGAGATTGGGCGGAGGCCAGAGGTACTTACCTGCAGCGCCGTTGCTCCAGCTTCGTCTTCGAGGTACCTGCAGCACAACGCCAGCTTCACAGGTTAGTACCTGGCTCGTAACAGAGAGAGAGAGTTCTTCTTCTTCCTCTTCTCAGTCCACCATCTCCCTCTCACCCTATCATTATCTGACTTCACTACATCAGCAGACTACGAGAGAAGAGAGAGAGAGAGAGCTTGGTGACATTGGATCCAGACTCTACTTTTGGGCTTCAG